TTGCCATTGCTGGTAGTTCCATCAGGTTCGATGTGGCAGCAACGGCGGGAGGATCTCGTGACCTAGGTGTAGTGACATCAACTCTGCAGTTGACCAGCGAATCAGGTCGGTGAGATTCCTCTCTTTGTCTACTCGGTCTTGGGGGGCTTGTGGCTGGCTGTGGTGCTCTCATCTGTGCATTCTGGAGTGCACTTTGGTTGTCCACATATGCCTGTACACGGCTGTGAGAACTTTCCCTTCCTAGACTTTCCAAATTGGGCGGTGACATGGCATCTTCTAACTCTCTCTGCAGGATCGCTTCTATTGCGGCTGCCTCTTTTGCTCTCTGTTGTCGCTGGAAAATCTCAAAGTTGGCCTGAGCTTTGGCCAAGTCTTCTCTATGTAGCTTGTCATTTACTGCTGCTTCTGCAGCAACGTTGGCCATTGCGGTATTGATCCGTGCTTCCCTGAGATGGGCGGCAATACTCTCTGCTCCTGAGGCTCGAGATGCGTGGCTCTGGTGAGAAGATGCCTTTGAATGGTGGGAGGGTCCTGTGATATGCGAGTGTTGGGACGCGCTGGAGTGTGCCTTGGACATGTGGTGAAAAGATGAGGCCTTTCCAGACACATGGGATGGATCTGCGTGTGATCATTGTGATGGTGCATGTGAACAGCGGGAAACTTCAGACTCGGCTCTGTTGACTGGTCTGCCTTTCTGGTGAGGTTCGGGCTGTGGGGAACCATGTGAGCTCACTAGAAGCTTCTTACGTTCCTCGTTTATTAGCCTGAGGCTTTGCATCTCGCTGTCGACTCTTAGGTCTCTTAACTGTTCTTGAATGTCCTTGAGTTGCTGTTCAGAGTCCATCCATTGCACGTAGGCATCTTCCTTATCTCCTTTCACTGCGTGTGCCCGTTCTGGGGAGAGTTCCTCCTTCTGTTCATGGTAGAGTTTGTATAATCTCTTCCAGCTTCGTTCATGGCGCCTGTGGATGATGTGCCATTTCTCCATCAGATGTGAATGCATGGCATCTGTGAGCTTTCTGCGTTGTCTAAGATCGTATTGACCCTGAGACATTATTGGCTTTGTTGAGGCTTGAGTTTCAGCCTCTGCGTACTGGTCAAGGTTGGCTGTTTGCAGCATCTCTCCTTGACTGACTGGTTGGGGTGTCTCATCTAGGCTGCTTAATTGAACCCCTTTGTCCGAATCAATAAGACACTCCTCCATGGTTAGGGTAGGTTCGGTGTCCTTCTCAGCTATTTTGAAGAGAATTTGAATAATTTCTCTCTTTGACCACTAGGGGTCGCTACTTGTAGGTCAGCTTCTGAGGTGCTGTCTGTGGGTGGAGATGCCACTGGGTGCGTTCTCCTGTGTTTGTGGGTACTTCAGTGCAGTTCACCCTTTCACCACTAGGGGTCACTTGCTGTGGGTCAGCTACCAGGGTGCTCTGGCTTTGAGGTTCACCCTTTGTCCACTAGAGGGGCTTCTCTGGGTGCGGTTAAAGGCTTGCGTGTAGAGCTTCCTTTAAACACTAGGGGGCATCTGGAGAAAGGCTAGCCAAATTCTTCCTATTGCCACGTTACTGCTAGTGAGCCACTGAGAGAATGTAGAGGTACAAACTCCCACCTGGCGTGTGGCAGGCTGGAACTCCGGGTCATCAGCTGTGATAATAGGCGAAGGCAATTGGCTCTTGCTTCCTGTCTCTCAAGCTGGGACAGCTTAGTGCTCAGCTTGGGTGAGTGAGTGAATGCTTCTGGTAAGATCACTCTGTGCCCTCTGGGGGGTGTTGGTAGCTTGGGATAACTTTAAGTAGCTTGCACTTTAACTAACAGATTTGCTCTGTTGTGTGCTGAATTAATTGTGGCTGTTGTGACTCAGCTAGAAAAAAAAATTGCATGACCACCAGGGGGTGCTTCTGCGATGATTCCTCCTTATAACGTTGGCTGAAATTCCGAGCATACCTAGGGCTGTCACTATGACAACAGATGAGTTCATTGAAAGGCAATAAAGCTTGCTTTTGTCTGAACTTTAGAGGCAGTCATTAAACAGTTCTTTGTTTCAGGCTGCGTGATTCACTGGCAAAGAGGGGAGGGGGAAAAGCCCAAGCTCCTTTTGGTGTTAAAATTCAAACTTTCCATGCAAGGAACAAAAGTGTAGATTTTTGTTTTTCTTTCTCTCTGCTATAAACATTAATTTGAGAACAGGTCCAAGGTACTTTTTACTTTGAAGGTTAGCTAGCAAGCGAATTAGCATAACAAAACCTCTGAATCACTCCTTGAAAGCTGTTTTTTACACAGACATGCTGGCTTTGCTTTGCAGGCTTTTAAATCAAGAGAATCTTTACTTCCTTGAAGGTTTATGCAGAGAAAGGGCTAACCAATTTGATTCTCTTTCTTCAAACTGTTGCAGCTTTGAGAGGAGAATTAATCTTTGCCAATTTACTATTTGCTTTCAAAAGATGGCACAAATTATGAATATATCTTCTTACTATTCTGACCCAAATTTCAAAGTGTTATATTTCAAATCCAGTCAGATAGTTAACTCAAAAGAAACGATCTTATAATAAACAAATATATTTTAATGAGAAAGATTACTTGCGTTCACGTTGAGATTGGTGCTGCTGGGAATACATGTTTGTTCATCTTTTAGATCTTTCCTTTAGGTAAGAAGATAAAGCTCTTTATACCATCTTATAGGGAGACCTTCCATGGCCCATGCTTCTTACAGACAAAGAGATTCCCATGAGGCTTGTGTCCAGGAAGTCCCCCAAAGACCTTTTGGAACTCCTCCCACTGACCCATCCACATACCTAGCATTTAACCCAATAACTGCCAGACCTTCCAACATAGAGCTGGGCCATAGAGCTATATGGGCCATAGAGCTATATGGGCCAGAACATTGGTATTGAGCTAGACTGGGCTTCTATTATCTTGCTTTTCAAAATTTCCCAAGCTTCTTGCATTGTTTTCCCCTGGAGGATTCTCATCCATGGAATCCTTCTCAAACCCTCTCTACATTTGCTGAAACTAGCTCTCTTGAAGTCCAAAACTCTAGTTTGACTATGTTCTATTGCTTGTGCTTCCATAATGTTGAATTCCAGTATTGCATGATCACTACCTCCCAAGTTTCCTGTGGCTTCAACACCTTCTATCATTTCATCTCTGTTGGTGAGAATTAGATCCAAAACTTGTAAAATTAGTGCCTTGTGTTTGTCTAATTCTGTCTGTTTACCTTTTTAATAAAGTGTTCTGCTGACCAAAAGCAAATAGTTATTGAGTCATAAGAGTTCTGTCAGGATCTCCATCATTGGCCTGGTGCCTTGCAGGCATCCTGCCATAAAAAGGGAAGGGGGGAGGCATTTGGGGCAATCCACACTTGTGAATCTAATGGTGGGAAATGGGGACAGGTAGTTGACATGCAAAAAAGAACATAGCTATTTGTACCATTTATGTTGGGCAACTTCAAGGCCACTTGCCCTGGGTGTGAAATTCCAGCAGCCTAAACAACCCAGAGTTTACCACAACATTGTGGCTATTCCTGATTGGGTGGCAAGAGATCGGACATTGGGGCGAGGGATGGGGAATGTTGGGTTTGGCTCTTTGTATCAGTGAGCATAAACTTCAGTTTCTGCCTCACCTTCCTACAACCAACATCTTTAGTAAAAGTCCTTTTCAATTCAATCAATTGGAGTCAAAAGTCTGCTTTCCTAAATTATTGTTTTGGGCAGGTCTGAAAAGTTCATTGGGAATATGCTATAGTTAATGTTTGTAATAGACAGACTGTAATCATATGATTCTATCTACTACCTGCATACAATGTTTCCCCAAAAATAAGACCCAATCTTTTTTTTTTCTCCAAAAGAGGCACCAGGTCTTATTTTTGGAGGGAGGTATCTTTATCACTCCCTCATGGTGGCAGCACTGATAGCCCTGCCCAGCCAGCCCACTTCTTCTGCAATCAAAGGAGCAGCTTCATTCTGCAGCTGAGAATGGAGCTCCGGCCAGAATTTTGTAGTCAGAGGCCTTTCCGGAAGGCCCGTGCAACTGAAAACTGAACTACAGATTGAATCCATATCTTGGGCTGCAAGGGCCTTCTGGAAATGCCTCTGACTGCAAAATGCTGCAGAATGAAGCTGCTCCTTTGGCCGTATAAGAAGAAGTCTGGCGAGGCAAGTATCTATTTATTGGAGGCCTGGCTGCAACCCCCACCCTAGTTTGATTTCTAGGCGTGCGCCTCACCCCAAAACTATGGCTTAATTTTGGGGTAGGGCTTATATTAGGCCCACCCTCAAAGATCAAGCTAGGGCTTATTTTGGGGAAAACACAATACTTTGCAAAGTGCCCAATGATACCTGAGATAGAAGCTGGATGATGATCAGTAAGAGGGCTTTTTATTAATCCTATTGCTCAAGAAATTTTTTTTGGGGGGGAGATTTTGTTGATGCTTAAGTTAAAGTTTGCAGGTGAAAATTTTCATTCACATAGTTTTTATTACAATGTTTTCATTTTAAAATTTGATGATAAAACAGCTATCAAAGCTCTCTTTTTTGTAAATAATCATTTGGGGCTTTAAATTGCTTCTTAAATTGTGCTGTAATGTTATTAGCTGGGGTCAACAGAAGATCTTATTTGGGCTTAAAAGCTGGGCATGCTTTAAAATGATTATTTCTTAACTGGTTAGGCATACAGAAAATCCCAAGGCTGTAAAATAGACTGGGAAGTCAAAAAAAAAAAAAAAATCAAAGAAGGAAAATATACTATCATCTGATTACCCATGTTAATGGAAACTTTACCTGATTTGGATACTTTGCATTGTATTTAAAAATGCCCCTGCCTTATCTAAAGTAATAAGAACAGCACACACTTTGCTTATTGCTATTAAGTTAAATTCTTAGTGCAGACAGTTTGCATTATATTTTCGAGTCTGCTATGGGCTGCAAGCTTAAATCCTTCTATTGTTAATAATAGCATAGTATGGTTATTAAGCACAAATGATAGTTTATTTGTTTGTAAATTTGCTTCAGTTTATGGACTGCCTCCTCTGAAAGATGAGAAAAAAAAGTCCAGCTCAAAAGAAAAATTCATCACCCACAAGCCTCAAGAACTGAAGTGGGATTCAAAGCTATTTTTACCCAAGGAGCCCTGGCCTACAAAATCTTGTTCCTTTACGGTTAGTATAAGTCAAGTTTTGATTCTTCTTTATCTGTATTTGTCCAAAGGTGTTTTGAGCATTTTAAAGGAGAATATTATTTGCCAGAGTTTTAAAAGGCTCAGCAAAAATTGCCATTTGTTAGAGTTTAACCTCCATGGAAACAACTGAGAAAGCAAATATCTGAAGATGTATTTAAAATTAGGTTCTCAGTTTCCTAGAGTGGTTATTGCCTACAAACTGATTTTGAAAATATAGCTTTTTTGCTTTGTGTAATTTGCATCATAGGAAGAATGATCCCCTACAATTCTTAGTAATTTTACACTGTCAAATCTTTGACAATACCTTATAAGTAAACTTTAAAAAAAACCCCACAATTTAGTTCTTGTATTTTTCATATGGACTTTAATGTAAGTTAACAGAATAAGCTGGACAATTTTTCTAACAAAATACAAATTTACTGTGTTTTTTTAAAAAATGCAATCTGAGTTAAAATCAGCTACAGGTATCTGGCTAATTTTTACAATTCTTGGTCAATTCAGGATGTTTAATTCATACTTTATTTTTCTCAGCATGTACAAATTAATGTTAGCAAGTATAAAGGGTAAGTTTCTATTGTTATACTGCACATTTTAAGACAGGTGAAAGAAAGTTCTATTGTAATGTAGAAGAATTCTCTCGGATTTCTTGAAGAAATAATTTTATCTGACATTAGATTAAGCTGCCACACTCTCATGCAATAATAATCATTGTGTTTAGGATAAAGATAATATTAATAGTATATGGTGATAAAAATAATTGTAATGAAATTGCTATGTCTGATTCATTTGCATTCGTTATTTGAAAAAAATATCAACCTCATGCTAATCTGATGCAAAAAGTGATTTAGTACCATGTTTCCCTGAAAATAAGACCTATCCTGAAATTAAACCCTAGCTTGATTTTAAGTGTGCACCTAATATAAGCCCTATCCCAAAAATAAGCCCTAGTTAAGACCACACCCACTCTGTCCCATTGTCTGATTATACAAGATGGGACAAGGTGCACATGTAAAAATCAAGCTAGGGTGAGGTTGGAGTGGTGGAGTTGCCCCATGCGCCCAGCATCCATTTACCTCAGGGCCCCTATAGCCAGGCCTTCTATGCCCTGACATCTGCCTTGTCTCATGACTGCAGCACTACCAGCAACAATCCCATCCACTTCTTCTAGTTGCTAGCGGCCACTCACGGTAAGAGTCCACATGGCGCATTGTGCCAGTGCTGCGACTCACACATGCCATGGTACATTGCACCATGTAGCACCCTTCTGCAAGTACCAGCACTGGTGTGATGCATCATGTAGCATGCTACCATGAGTAGTGGCACCAGTGGAACATGCCACCTGACGTGCAACACTGGCATATGTCACATGGCTGCTGAGTGGCAGAACTGGCACAGTGCACCATGTGGTGTCCTGCTGTGAGCAGCTGCAAGCAGCCACAGAAGGACTCAGGTGGTGGCACATGTGTTGGGGTGGCTGCGGTGGTGTTGAGTTAAGCGGGTGAGACATCCCCCGAAAACAAGACCTAGTGCCTCTTTTGGAGGCCCCAAAAATATAAGACTGGGTCTTATTTTTGGGAAAATGTAGTAGTTCTAATTACTACATGAATGTGGAAAACAATGCTATCTAGTTATTATTTAAAATATTTAAAGATTTAAAATGCATATTTACTTCCATCTTATATTTTCAATTCTTTCTTCCACTTTTATCTCAATTGTATTTAGTTGAAAACTAATTTTTGTATTTTAGTCATAAAATAACAAAATAAATAAGTCAACAAAATAAATAAAAGCGCACACACACACACACACACACACACACACATGCATATTTTATTTTTCCTTTAAAAGCGATATATATTTTTCACACTTATAACCATTGCTGCATCCCCAGGGTCACATGATCAAAATTCAGATGCTTGACAACTAACTCATATGACAATTGTAGTGTCCCGGGGTCATGTAATCACCTTTTGTGATCTTCTGACAAGCAAAGTCAATGAGGAAGCCAGATTGATGCAACAACCGTGTTATTAAGTTAACAAGTACAACTTAACAACTGTGGCAAGAAAAGTTATAAAATAGGGTAAAACATACTTATCAACTGTCTTGCTTAATGGAAATGTTGGGCTAAACTGTGGTCATAAATTAAGGACTATATGTATCAAAGGCATAATTCTCAAGTATAAGTAGTGTAATATTTTGGTCATTGGGTTGGTAAAGGCACATTCTCCAGTTTCTTCACACCTCTTTGCCTTTTAATTTCCTTTGACAATCCTCAATATCATTGCACACAAGATTGTTTTGAGCCCCAAATACTTTTTCCTATCCTCAATGTATTAAGAAAAATCTGAAATTAAAAAGACTATATGTTTTGATAAAGTTCATATACACTGAGCAGATTCCTTTTCTTGTTTGGTGTTTTTTTTCATGATATTGTATTTGAGAATAAAGCTGCTGTGACTGGGGATCATCTCAAAGAGAAAATTATTGAACTGGTGATCATCACAGCTGATTTGATTGCTCTGTCCCTCTTCTCCAATATGAAAAGAAAAGCTACTTTTATAATTCAACCAGTCTTTCAGCATTTTACAGCTGACCAACTTTCTCCAACCTTAATGGAGGTGCCAGAAACTCAGCCTAGAATATTTTTTATGCAAAACCACAAATTCTGAACACAATTAAAGCAACTAATGATTAGATATTTATATTGATTTTCACAATTACCATAATTGTAATGTTTTTGTGTTCTGTACTTCAGATCACCTCACTTAGACTATCTAGTTTGCTTTCAATGTCATGAATTTTTACTATGAAAGAAACAGTTCAATCCAAAATTTTGTGCATATGTTTTGGAGTACCAGAATGTATAATTACTGCAGTTTTTCAAAATATATGGAAGAGTGACATCAGCTGAGTCCAAAGTAACACATTTTATTATTAATGTTATAGTTAAAAAAACATGTTTTATTTTTTATAATTTCAGATTCATTTAGTTCAATTCAGATTCATTATGTTTATTTGCTTCAAATCAGAGAAAATTGGATTAGAGTTTAGAAGCCTACTGAAATCAAAGTAGAATTAAGCTAAAATATTTCAAAACAGAGGATATTAAATATCCAATACCAAATAAATTCATCTTTAAGATTGGGTACTGAAATTCAGGAGAGGAAATAATCTGTACCTTATTTAGATAACTTGATATTTCCTAAATATAGAAAGATTTTTATTTGTCATTGTGTCATCTACTTTCATCTGCATCCTGAAAGGACAATATATATGAAATGGAAGAGATTTATACATTTGTGTCTATGGTTATGGGAAAGTAGTGACCATAATATGTGTTCTATTGTTGCAAGTTTTAAAGAGAAATAAGAAAACACTTTGTCCTTTTGTTAATTTCAAAAGATTCAGGTAGAGAATCTAAATTATAAAGCAATAACAATACCACTTATATTCAGATTCAAAGTGGTTTATTTTGTTTTTTTAAAAAAATATTTCTATAAGAAGCTTCCTTATTGTTATTCTTAAGGTTTGTCGCACAGTCAGCCAGATGCTTAGATTGGATTTAGCATTTTTATTTATCTATCGTATCCTTATTATTGACATTATTTTTTTGCTAACTGTGACTTCCTATTTAGCTAAAAAATACTTCTCTGACTGCGACAGTATTTAATAGTTCTCCTAAACACTTCTAATTATTTTATTTTCAGAGGCATAGAAACCATTGGGGTGCACCTAATGCCATTATAGATCGTGTAGAAGAAACATTAAGCAAACTGTGGCTGAAAGAGGCAAGTGGTTTTTCATTAAGAATGTTTAGAAGTCTACCAAAATATTTTTACTTTGATTTTTTGAATAGCTTAAATAAATACAAAAAATACTTAGGCAAATTTGTTTTTTCACTGTTAGTAGTTGATAAATATGTAAGATGTGATTTTGAACTTAGAGATATCTCCAATCTTATGTCCAAAGGTGTTTTTTTCAAAAGGCAATGAGACTTTCTTGGTTTTTTTCCTTGAAACCTTTTGCTTCTCATCCAAGGAGCTTCTTTTGAAAAAACACCTCAGGCATATCAAACTCGCGATGTCACGTGATGTCACGCAACGTATCGGGCCGGTTTTGCCATTGCCAGGAATGGGGTGGGCTAGCAGTTTGACACCCCTGGTCTAGATGATTGAGAATTTCCATAGACTCCAATCTTATGGCAATTCCTTGAAATAATTATTTCCATATTTCATGATAATGTTCTGTGATATATTCTGAGCTTAGTTTTTCTTTGGGACCTAACTGGAATTTATGTTGGCCTGGAACAAATATAGTTCATTAGAAACATTGCATTATTCTTACTTTATTCACACAGAAGTTTGTTATTTGAACTCCTGAAAAGTATCAAACAATATTAAGCCTTGTTGTGTAGCTTCTGAATTTTTAAAAGATGCTAACTATTATTATGTAGTAAAAAGTGGCACAATCAGGCAGCCTGTATTGCTGTCGTTATGGTTACACTATTGGAGTGTTGGATGTTTTTTTTTTAATGATAGATAACAACAAAAAAAGAAAAGGCATATAAAATTCCAATTAGTTAGAAAAGTGGTGAGGATGAGCGTATTAAATAGGTGAGTTCTAGGAGAAACAAACTGAACAAGTTTCTGTGGGGTGCAAAGGGTAGAAGATTTAAAAAAAGAAGTTTGAAATAGCAAGATTAGGATGCATGCTCCAAGGAAATGTGCAAATGGATTATGACAAATCCTTGGATACATTCTTTACAAATCACAGTGAATGTTCAATTGTTTCATTCCAGGCAATTAAGCAGAAAGAAAGCAGAAGGAAAGCAGCAGCAACTATAAAGCAAAAATTCCCAAGTATATCTGTTTCCATTCCAAAGCAACATCTGACTGGAAGGAACGAAGAAAAAAGCTTGCCCAAAACCCTCCATTCCCCATTACTATCCTTAAGACAATGTGAATGGTCAATGTCTAAGGATATCAGCCTTCCATTGTATGTAAAGCCAGAACCTTTAGGCTTCTTGCTGCCCACAGGTATAGCTCAAACTGTAGAGGAGCTGAAATACGAGTAATGAAAATAGATAACGGAATGTTCCAAAAATATTTGCCTAAATGTTGCTATTATTATTTTTTAACATTTAGAATCTACTATAGAAGTAGATGCGCCCATGCTATTAGTTTAGTGAATGTTAAATTTTAAAAAACCATGTACATACACAATAAATTATCATAAAATGGCATTATATAATTAAATTGCTATATAATTAATACTATTATAATATTATATTACAATATAACATATTATAAAAAGGATTAGATCTACAAAAATACAGGTAACCCGCAAGTTACAAATATTCAATCAGTGACTATACAAAGTTATAATGGAACTTATGAGGAACTTATGAGCAATTATGATTACAACCTGTGAAGTTGTGGCCATTGCAGCATTCTTAGTCACATGATTGTGATTTGGATTTTCTGTGCCCAGATTGCAATTAAAACATTGAATGAGCTGCTGTTACATTAGAACATTTTAATATTCCCTATCCGCTTCCCACAAATCAGAAAGCTGGTAGGGAGCTGGAAATTGCTCCCACACTCATCAATTTTTCACCAGTTTATGCTCCAATAGCACCCACATCACTTCTGCATCTCCCCACCTCGGCAGATGCAGACCTGATGTGATGGTTGGGTGCTAATAGATGATAATGGGAGAAATACTGGATTGCCCATGACACCCTCTGCCTCCTGCAGCACCTACTGGATTGCCTGAGATTCCCATTTCTTCCCAAAACCTACAATGGCAATGGGATTGTGAGATTGCCATTACTAAGCAAAGCAACCAGTGTGACGTCATGTTTATGATCACATCACTTAACATCAGAAATTCCCATCCCAATTGCTGCTGTAACCCAAGGAGCATCTATATTGTCCTCTATATTCTTGAAAAAATGGCAACTTGTTTTTATGCTATCTTTGGAAATAGTTCATAAACTCTGGGCAAAAATCACTGCAAAATTATATGAAAAAAATATCTGGAAAAGTTATACATTAAAATCTTAACAATACCAAAACCGGTTTCAATAAAACATCAGAATACAAACTGAAAAGTATTCTGGACTGAATCATAGAAGCAAACTTAGAAACAGATGAAAAAAGATTTCCAGCCTAATTTCACAACGGAATCTCAGTATGACAGGCTTCTGTGCAATCTTGCTTTTGGAATAGAATAGGAATTATTCATACAACCTAACTGTATGTCAAAGGAGGACCATTTGCAGTTTATTAATTTTTGAACATGACTGTATTACTGTTTATTTATCCACAGGCAACTTTTATATGTTGTATACCATTTAATAATATAGTATTAAGGACTTCAAAATGAATACGTTGTTACCAATTTTTTGCCCTTAGGGATTCACACTGCACAGATGAAATAAAAATTAGAACAATAAGTAAATATCATAACATTATAAATTGAAGACATTTGATGATGGGTCTGAATAAGAAAAATTGAAATCATGCTCTTTAAGGCATTCATCTATATGAAAAGCTATAATAGCAAATGCTGTTTTTGTCTAAGCTCTAGAGGTCCCTGAGTCCATTCAAGGATCAACCAAGAAGATATTTGCAGTATGAAAATGTGAAATTCAGATCCTTTATATGGTGTTTGTTTATACTGTCAATTCTTGTTATTGGAGTCCATAACATTTTCCATGTTTCAGTATTTTTTACTATGTTGGTCTCTTCTCCATATAAGATTACAATTAGGTTAGAAAATAAAGACAGTTTCAGAAGAATTGCTATAATATATATTATTTCTATATCTTTAAAGCAAAGGTTTGCAATGAGATGGGGACCACAAGCAAGATCTTAAAGAGCATTTTGAAGTGCTAACTTCAAAAAATACATTAGGTCAGGACAAAGAAATGGATGGAACTAGGGGGAAAAAACCTTAAATATTGGTAACTTGGAAGACTTTTGGGGCTGTATCCCTCAAATTCAATATGTCATTTGCATTAATAATCTTGTTTTTAACCTGAATTTCTTTTTTGTTCTTTAATGAAAAGGGTTTTGTGACTGTTTTTTTCAATAACAAAGGCAACTTCTGTTTGGTCTCTGGAATAAAAGGCTAGCCAGAAAAAGATCAGGCATTTTATTCTGTTTTCCAGGAAGTGCACTTATTAATAAACAGAACAGGAACCATCTTATACTTTGATGTGAAATAGTTTTTCCTCGGTCTTCGAAAATATTTAGCAGTTTTGCATTCCTACCAGGGATCTCCCTAGGGCTTCACACCACTTGAAGTTTTGAGTAAAAAAGAAACACCTTATTTCTACCATATCTATTTCTAGGAGAGTAGAGTTGATCTCCTCTAAATGACACAAGTTAATTTCGAATAGAAATGTTTCTCCTATTTGATTTTAATCAACTGACTCTTAAATCTCCTCTAATCCCTTTGAAATCAGCAGAAAAACCAAGCATAGATCTGAAAGGAATTTGAATCTATCACTTAATTTCTGATAGTTAACTGCATAACACTACGTTTCCTGACTAATGTCAACAGCAATATTATGTGCCATAAGTCATTTTTGATTCTTTGTGACCATACAGATATTCACCATGACCTTTGTGTGTCCCTAACCTGTCCTTTCAATCCTGATGGGATTCAGCCAGTTCGTACCACTTTGGCAGAACCGGCAGCTAATATTTTTGTTGCCCATGCCCAGAATGGACTTCCGGAAGTGGCATCCACACAGAGAACCGGTTGTTCACATATTTGAGTCCCACAAGTCTTAATTGGTGCCTTCATCTCTACTGTAACTGAGTCCAGCTACCTTGCTATTGGTCATCCTTTTCTTCTCTTTCCTTCTCCTTTCCCAGCATTAGAGCCTTTTCCAGAGCAATTCAAAATGTCTTAGTGTTTTCACTAAGTTTGGTAAACACTGTCCAGCATTCTTCCTATTGTATGTAAAATAAAAGAACAGAATAACAGAGTTGAAAGAAACTTTGGAGGTCTTCTAATCCAACCCCTTGCTCCTGCTTGAGATTTCCAGTCTCAAGTAATGGAGCCCCCACAACTTTTGGGAGCAAGCAGTTCCACTGGTTAATTGTTCTCACTTGCCTTCTGATATGAAATAGATAGACCCCTTCTTCTTTCTGGCAGTCCTTCAAATATTGAAATCCTGCTATTATAGCAGCCCAGTACTTCTTTTTGGTAGACTAGACGTACCCAGTTCCTACAACTGCTCTTCATATGTTTTAGCTTCCAGCCCTCTAATCATCTTTGTTGCTTTTCTCTGCATTTTTTTCCAGAGTCTCAACATATTTTTTATAATATAGTGACCAAAACTGGATGCAATATTCTAAATGTGATCTTACTAAGACTTTATAAAGTGGAATACTTCACATGATATTAATTCTATCCCTCTGTTAATGCAACCTAGGATCACATTGGCTTTCTTGGCTGCTGCCACCCACTGCTTGCTCATATGATGATGATGAGGAGGAGGAGGAGGATGATAATAATAATAATAATCTGAAATTAGTATATCAGGAAGGCTTACTGACTACTGGAGAGACCAAACTGGCCTACAAGAAAGACCAAATGAAGAACAGAATAGAGGCATGGGAAGACAAAGCACTACATGGCCAATACATGAAAAAAATAGCTGGGAAAGCAGATAATAACAAGACCTGGCAATGGCTAAGAGCAGGAAAATTGAAGAAAGAGACCAAGGGACTAATTCTGGCTGCACAAGACCAAGCCTTAACGACAAATGCATATAAAGTAAAAATTGAGAAAACAGCAACAGACAGTAAGTGCCGCCTATGCAAAGAAGCTGATGAAACAGTGGACCACCTGGTAAGCTGTTGCAAGAAGATCGCACAGACTGACTACAAGCAGCGGCATGACAAAGTAGCAACAATGGTGCATTGGAAGATCTGCAAAAAAATATCATTTGCCTGTAAGCAAAAACTGGTGGGATCATAAAATAGAGAAAGTCATAGAAAATGATAAAATTAAACTGCTCTGGGACTTCAGAATTCAAACAGACAAGCACCTGCAACATAACACTCCAGACTTAACAATTGTCAATAAGAAAGACAAAAAAGTCTGGATAGTGGACGTGGCAGGGCCTGGAGACAGCAGAATAGACGAGAAATAACTGGAGAAGATAACAAAATACAAAGACCTACAAATAGAAATAGAAAGACTGTGGCAAAAGCAAGCAAGGGAGTACCAATAGTAATAGGCTCCTTGGGTGCAATCCCAAAACAACTGGAGCACCACTTGAACACCATTGGCATTGACAAATTCGCTATTAGTCAATTGCAAAAGGCGGCCTTACTAGGAACTGCTTCCATCCTGCGACGATATCTGTAATACCATCAAACATCCACATCTGCCTATCCCAGGTCCTGGGTAAGGACTCGATAGTTAGACAAAATGCCAAATCCAGTCTGAACATCTGGCTGACTGTGTGATGATCAATAATAATAATAATAATAATAATAATAATAATAATAATAAGTAGTAGTAGTAGTAGTAGTAGTAGTAGTAGTAGTAGTAGTAGTTGGAAGGGATCTTGGAGGTCATCTAGTCCAACCCCCTGCTCAGGCAAGAAACCTTATACCATTTCAAACAATGGCTGTCCAGTTTCTTCTTAAAAACTTCCAGGGTTGGAGCAGTCACAATTTCTGGAGGCAGGTTGCTCTACTGATTAATTGTTGTCAGAAAATTTCTCCTTCATTCGTTGCTTCTCTTTTTGGTTAGTTTCCATCCATTGCTTCTTGTCTTGCCTTCAGGTGTTTTGGAGAATAGCTTGACTCCCTCTTTGTGACAAACCCTGAGATATTGGAACACTGCTATCATGTCACCCCTCATCCTTCTCTTCATTAAACTAGACATACCCAATTCTAGCAACTGTACTTTATACGGTTTAACCTCCAGTCCCCTAATCATCTTTGTTGCTCTTCTCTGTATTCTTTCTAGAGTCTCAACATCTTTTTTATATTGTGGTGACCAAAACTGGATGCAGTATTCCAAGTGTGGCCTTACCAAGGCATTGTAAAATGATATTCACACTTCACGTGACCTTGATTCTATCCCTCTGTTAATGCAGCTTAGCACTGTGTTTGCTTTTTTGGCAGCTGCAGTATACATATTTAAGTATATAGGGCCCAGTTCATGTCTATCAAGATCCAGTTCATGTCTATCTTCGGGGTGTTGGCCATTCCTGTCAGTTTAGTGTTGTCTGCAAATATGATGAGTTCCCCTTCTATTCCCTCAGTTAAATCATTTATGAAAATGTTGAAGAGTGCTGGGCCTAAATTAATCTTAATTCATTTTACTTAATCTTAATTTCTTTCATTCATTTCACAAAATATTACGTAGAGACATGTAATGTAAAACACAAAATAGCATAGATTATGTACAGTTTATCTGATTTTACTTCTATATCTGCTGCTAGAGAGTTAAATAATAATTACTTGTTTTAGTAATTGTTCCTTTTTGATACATGATCACAAATGGGCATATTGTTTAGCAAACTCAGGATTACTTTAGAACTGATTTCTGTAGACAAGTTGGTTGAATATCCATTATTTAAACTCCATTATGATCCCAGAGAGCTGGACTGCAGAAAAGGGAACTTCAAATTTCATAATATTTATATAAATCAAACATCTTACTACAATTTATTTTTGTTTGACCCTCAATTTGGTATACTGATAAAAATGCTGGATTAGAACATATGGTTTCCCACTTTCCAGTGGTCCTTAGACAGGGAAATCGGTTGGGTGACCTTGGGCCAGTCTTTCTTTCTTAGCCTAACTTACCTCACAGAGTGATTGTTACAGAGAAAATAGAACGAAAGAGAATTATATATACCATTTTGAATTCTATAAAATAAATCAGGATATAAATATAAGAACTAAATGCTTACTACAGTAAGTCATTTAAAAAGAGTTTTAAATAGAAAAAAGGAGAATATATATATTAATTAAAATATATGTATATAATTACTAACATTTACTCCATTTACTCAAATTTAGATAGTGATACATAAACTGAGTATTATAAACAGGATACTGTAAGATAAAGGTGAGAAAACTAAGCACTTTAATTCTGGTATATGTTTATACTATGAAGAATAAGCTGTGGGGAAACAGGCATTATAAATAAGGCAGAACTATCTGGTTCCTTAAATTCTGGTATATTTCAAGAATATTCCTGAGGGCTATGGAGGGAAAAAACTTCCTATAGTTTATGCTGTAACACGCTGTACATTGTAAATATGCAAAATCAGGTTCTGTTATTAGAACATACTCTCAGAAATGAAGGACACATCAACATTTTAATAATTCATACTGTTCCTCAGATCTGGCCTATTTCCTGGAACATTATTTATTAATTTTCTAGATATTTATAATCTCCACTACTCCAGAAGAAAAACTTAGTGCACCCTACTTTTTTTCCTGACCCTCAGTTTTTCCATTCTTTATAACATATTAGGATGATAGATAGTACTACCCAAAACTGTTCTCCAGTCCTACTCTAATACCTTTACAACTACAGTATGGTAATGTTTTCCTTGATAAGCTTGACTTTTTAGGAACTTTACATTTCAAGATAGCATAATGGAAATATAAAACAATTTTTTTTTTTTGTGAATCAACATAAAAAAGTTTCCTTAAGTCGCCCAAAGATTACAATCTCATCACTATACTTTCTGTCAATGTATTGTAACTGAGTCTCCTGTGCAAAAAGTTGAAGCAACCAGCCATAAACCATCTAATCTACAATATATCTATATTAACTAGTTTGCTAGAACTTTTTGGACTGCAGAAGGCCTGGGATGATAGAAAGGACTTATGTCCTACCATATTATTCCTCATGCCTATATCTAAATCAAGTTGCAGTACCTCCCGAAGTTAGAAAGACTTGACATGTTCAAGTAGAGTTTATTCTTAGGCTGATCACTTTTTTCCCTCTGCATATGCATTTGTGCATTGTAATATTGAATGTGGCAGACAATTATTTAATTCACAACTTTGAA